GTTCTGCCATCAGAATCTTCTAGGTGTAGCTGTAACCATGGCTAATTCACTCAATCTCCCTCTGCTTGGGTTCTTGGCTATGGAATGGTGCTAGGAACGCTACCTTCCTGGGTTGGTGGGAGGGTGGCATGCTCTAATGAGGGCACCTCAAGGGACCAGGTTTGGCTGAGAATGTACTGCTTAAGTTGTGGCCATTATTACTGAAGTGAACAACTGGAGAACAAGGGACAATTGTACATGGCCCGATATCAGACTGTGTGTCCGGAGGTGCTACAGGAGTTCAGCGCAGAAAGGGCTGGCCTGGAGCAGGCAGGGAGGCTTCCTGGAAGAGAGAGCCTCCGGCGCAGTGCTAAAGGGCTCGGCAGCTGGGAACTGGCTGGAAGGCATGCGTCTGGCCTGGCGATGAGGTTTGAGGAGCAGGGAGGAGGTGCACCTTTGCACCCTGAGGCCACCCAAGGATGGGAGCAGGTGAGCAGCCAGTTCACGCTGGTTGCCTGCAGGGTGCTGGGCTCCAATGCCAGGCAGCTTCTGGGACAAAGGGAGCCCTGGAAGCACTTAAGAGACTAGGACAGCTCTGGGGGTGAGAAAGCTAGCACGCCGCCTCATTTGTGGGGGATGCACAGCCTATGGCAGACCCAGGAGAAACCCCGGGGGACCTCGCTGGGCTCTCCTCTTGGTCTTGTCCCTTGGCCTCGGTCTCCATTATCACTCCCTCCCAGGCCGGCCCACAGGACTCAGGGTGGTGGGAATGGAGAGCCGGAATTGCTGCCCTGTGCAGGGCCTGCTTGTGGTGGGGCAGGGAAAGGCCCAGAATGTGTTTACATTTTCCCTCCTTTCCTTCTGGTGACCCAGCCGGCCGGCGGTTACACCACTGCGGTTTGTTGGCCCCAGGGAGTGCCTCCGTTACATAACGCCTGACACAACCGCCCCTAAGACATGCGAGTACGCTGGCACACACTCACACTCCTGCACACAGACACACTCACCCACACGCTCTCACAGAGACACACCTACATGGTCTACACTCTCCCCCGGCAGCACCGTTGTCTTGAGAGGATTCCCACTGCCCCCACCCAACAGCCACAGTTTTAGTGGCAGAATCTTCCCACTTCCTGACCCTCAAGCCCCAGGTGCCCTGAGCCTGGGGGGACTAATCCACCTGCCTGGGGCCCCAGGGGACAGCCTCAGTCTTTGGCACCAACCTGGAAGGTAGACGGCCGGGAGCTGCCCCGCAAGAGCCCGGAGGTGGGGGGAGATGGGGCTTAACCACCAGAGGACTGGGGAACAGGACAGGAGACAGAGGAAGGCCAGACCCCCAGGGCAGCATTCAGAGCAGCCACACAGCGAGTGAACTGGGGCAGAAGTGGTCTCTGAGGCAATGAGGAAGGGAGGGGGAGGGGCATGCAGTGCAACATTTTTGGAGGGTTACTAAGATGGCAGGTTTCAAGGTTTTAAACACATGTTGTGTTACCTCCACGGAAATGCGAGAGCCGCCTCACATCTCAGTAATGCTGCCTCTGGGGATTCTCCTGGTGGAAACGTGCACCCAAGGGTCTGTTGTGTGTAAGGATGCGCATGAATGGGAAATAAGGAAGAGCCAGGGTGGCCATCCCGGGCCTGACGCAGGGGTACCCACGGCTGGTGGCAGAAGGTGCTGGCACGCTGGGTGAGGATGGGAGGTACCGCTCGGCCCCCTTCAGAGAACTGGAACCACACATGAACGTGTGTGTGTAAATATTTGTAGATAGAGCCACGCAATCAAATTGCCGGAACTCCTCGCACAAAGCGGTTGCCAAGTGGCCAGCGCTGCTGAGTGGGACTGAGGAGCAAGGTTAGGAGGGACTTTGCTATTTGTACGTATCGGGAATCGATGTCTACAATTTGGACATTCAGGACAAGCCTGCACAAATTAGGAATTTGGAGACAGGAGGCTGCGTCTGCCAAGGAGAAATGCAGTTCCCCCACCTTGGGAATGGCTGGGCCACTCTGCCCCGACAGGGGGTGTGGGTGTGGGTGGCATCGTGGCCCCACCATTCATGAGCTAGGTGACCTTGGACAAGTGTCTTTATTTGTCTGAGCTCCATAATCTGCAAACAGGAGAGAACAGTGCCACTCTCACGGGGTCTGGTTCCTCTGCACAGTTACCGAGGCCCTTTTAGGAGGCAGGTTGGGATGAACAAAGAGGAATGTGATGGCTCTCGGTTCTTGCTCTGAAGGAACAGCCAGGCCAGGGAGGAAGACAGGTGTGGGAAGGACGATGACCTCTGTGCCTCTGCAAGTCCTGTCCAGGGGCCCCGGGGGCTGGGGCAGAGGCTGGGGACGTGGAGGGTGAGGCTGAGGAACCAGAGGGACGTCAGCGGTGCTTCAGGCCGATGGAGGAGGGGTGAGCATTGAGATCGGCACTCAGAGAGCACGTGTGGAAGCCTGGATTTGAACTGGGGGTGCGAGAACCCTTCAAGGTCTTTGGGCTGGAGAGGCACGGTCACCTAAGTTTTAGAAGCTGGCTCTGGGGTGCCCGTGGGGGCCGGGGAGAACACCTGGGGCTCTGGGTTCACCTGCTGCCCCAGTGAGAGGGAGAGCCCGAGGGGCTGAGGCAGTAAGGACAGAGAGGAGGGCACGGCGTCTGGATGCGGTTAGACAGCAGCCATTATTAGGTCAGCAGCCTTGTGGCAATGGGGTGAGGGAAGCCGGAGAAAGACCACAGGAGGGAGCCACGCTCTCCTGTGGGCGCTAGGGTGGATGAGGTGCCACAGCTGTGGAGACAGGAACCCCAGGAGGGCTTGGTGTGAGGGGGTCTACGTCCAGGTATCAGGAGGCAGGTCCCAGGCTGCTGGGGGGGTGGGCTGTGAGGTGCCACCTTGCGGTGGGTAGTCCCTTCATGTCCCCCCATCGGCACATACAGTCTCCTGGACAGAGCTGTCATTTTGGAATATACTGGACTCTCTTAGCTTGTGAGGGGAGGGGGAGTTCAAAGGCATCATGGTTGTGTCCTGGGACTTGCTTTGGAAAAGAATAACCTTTATAGGGGCTTCCTTATTTACAGATGTTTGTATTTTAATAGAACATTGTATAACAGCAGTGCTGTCCACCAGAACTTTCTGTGGTGATGGATGTAGTCCATGCTGTTCAGCGCAGTGATCCCTGCATTCACATGGCTACTATCATTTGCCATGTGGACAGTGAGACTGAGGAAGTGAGTTTTAAATTTAAATAGCCCACGTGGCTAGTGCCTACCACATGGGACAGTGCAGCTCTATCTAGACTTTCCAAAGGAAAGCTGTTTCCACTTAAGGCCCGTGTGGTTGGGAGGGTTTGGTGGGGACAGAGAAGGGGACCTTCCTGATGCCTCTCAGATTGAGTGCCTATTGATTAGGTGCTAAGCTTAGAGTCTAAGAAGGAAGGAATATGCAAAAGCATTTAAAATGTGTCATAGGAACCCTGGCGGGCTCACTTAGTTGGTTAGAGCTTCATCTCGATATGCCAAGTTTGCAGGTTTGATTCCTGGTCAAGGCACATACAAGAAACAACCAATGAATGCATCAATAAGTGGAACAACAAAGCAGTCTCTCTCTCTCTCTAATCGATAAATAAAAAATTTAAAAAATATGTCAGAGGATGACAAATGCTAGGGAAAATAAAGCAGGACAAGAGAGAAGAAATGCCAGATGGAACTGTTGTTTTAGAGAGGGTGGTCTGGGGGGCCCCTGAAAAGGTGACACTTCGCAGAAGCAGAAAACTGAAGGGAATGGGCCGTGTAGAGGAGCACGACAGAGGGGCGGAGGGTGCAAAGGCCCTGGAGACAGAGAGGAGGCCCGGCATGAGTCAGGACGGCAGGGAGGCCTGCGTGGTGGAGCAGGGTGAGGAAGGAGCAGTCGGGTCTGAAAGGAAAGGGGCCATGGGCACGGGTCCAACAGATAACGGAGGACTTCGTAGGCCCTGCTGAGATCATAGATTTTGTTCTCAGTGAGGATTTTGAGTGCAGGATGACTTGACCTAATTGTGTTTTCAAAGCACAGATGTGCAAATCTGCGTTTACAGGTAGTGTGGGAGCAAGGCAGGGAGAGAGGAGTCGGAGAGGCAGCTTGGGGCAAAGGGAAGGAGCCACAGGTTAGATTCCTTTGCTTTCTGCTTCCGCCTCTTCCCAGCTGCCTGGCCTCAGGCATGTAACTTCTCCAAGCTCAGTTTTCTTATCTTTGAAATAGGGGCAGTAACAGTCCCTCAGTCTTGGGTGAATATACAGCCTGCTGTTAACACACCGGAAGCTGTAGTACAGAATAGTCGTTCCATAAAGAGACACCAACGGGGTCCCAACCAGGGGACCTGTGGCAGGAGCTTGAGGAGAAAGGGAAGAGGAAGATGATGAAGCTTAATGGTAATAGTAACAGTCAGCTAATTCTTCCTGAATACTTATCACCTCTAGGCACTGGGCAAAGAATTTGGCAAATATTATCTCGCTTAATCTTCATAACAAAAACAAGGACAACAATAGGTTAATCCATTTTTTTTCAAATGAAGAAACTGAGGCTCAAAGAGATGGTGAACTGTGCTCAAGGTCACACAGTGGGTAACTGGCAGCAACTGGGACCCATTCCCCACCTCTGACTCCGGAGTCCCAGTTCTTTCCACTGGTGATAATCCACTGAGCTCTGGGGTGAGAGGTCCCAGAGACTTTTCTGTAGGGACCTTCACAATAGGATGCTCTACTACAGGAACTGGAGGGGGGCAGAGGGCAGGCTAGTGGCCTCTTGAGCGCCGAGCCCACTGTCCCAGCCCCATCTTGGGCCACTCTGCTCAGTTCTCCGCCCCCAGGGGCTGTATCCATCTTTGCTTTCCTCCCTGGAACCATGCTCTCTCTAACCACAGGGCCTTTGCACTAGATGCTCTGTTTTTAAAAGAACTTATAGTTGACATACAGTTTTATATTAGTTTCAGGTGTATAACATAGTGATTTGACATCTACATACCTTACAAAGTGGTCACCACAATGATTCTAGCAAACTAAAAATATGGAACATTTCACGAATTTGAATGTCATCCGTGAGAAGAGGCCACGCTAATCTCTATCGTCCCAATTTTAGTCTATGTGCTGCTGCAGCGAGCGCCTAGCTGCTCCTTTTACTGGGAAAACTCTTTTGCTGGCCCTTTGCCTTACTGTTACTTGCTCTATGCCCTTCCTACTTCTTTAAAGCTTCCCAGACCCTAAGTGAGGCCAGCGTTCCTGACAGAGGCGCTCTCAGTCCCTGGCCTTCCCATTCACACCCCAGATTTCAGTTTGTGAGTATACTTTATATTTTATTTTTTTGTGAGTATGCTTTTTAAAATGCTTAAACAATTTTTTTAATGACAAGATTTTATTTATTATTTTTAGAGAGAGGGGAAAGAAGGGAGAAAGAGAAGGAGAGAAACCTCAATCGGCTGTCCCCCACACACGCCCTGACCAGGGACAGAACCCACAACCCAGGCATGTGCCCTCACTGGGAATTGAACTGATGACCTTTTGCTTTGCAGAACAGCACCCAGTCAACTGAGCCACACTGGTCATGGTAGTACACTTAAAAAAACATTAAGATATAATTCACATATAATAAAATTCAGCAGATTAAAGTACACAAATTACAAATTTTAATATATTCACAAGGTTGTGCAGGTCTCACCACTATGTAGTTCTGGAATGCTTTCATCAACCCAAAAGGAAATACTGCGTCTGCCCACAGTCAGTCCCCTCGTCCCCTGGCCCCAGCCAGCACCAATCTCCTCGTCGTCTCCATGAAGTTGCTTCTTCTGGACACTTCATGTGAGGGAATCATGTCATATGTAGTCTTTTGTGTCTGGCTTCTTTCATATAACATTGTATTTCTACTGTTCATTCATGGACCTTGAATCAATACTTCCTTCTTTTTTATGACTAAATACTATTCCACTGAATGGATGTACCACCTTTGTTTATTTATCCATCTGTTGGTGGACATTTGGGTTGTTTCCACTTTTTGGCTATTGTGAACAAGTGTACGCATTTTCTTTCTTTCCTTTTTAAAAAGACTTTATTTATTGATTTTTAGAGAAAGGGAAAGGGAGAGAGAAAGAGAGGGAGACATCAATGTGTGGTTGCCTCTCACATGCCTACTCTAGGGATCTGGCCCACAACCCAGGCATGTGCCCTGACTGGGAATTGAACCGTCAACCTTTTGGTTCACAGGCCAGCACTCAACCCACTGAGCCATACCAGCCAAAGCATACATGTTTTCTTATGTGGACATCACAGAACATGCATCAAGCCGAGTAGGGGAAACACTAATCAGTTATGAAAACCAATGTATCACTTTGGAAAATAGTATGGCAATCCTCAGAAAGTTCAACTGTGGAGTGACCTGGCAATTCTAGGGATATAACCGAAAGAACCGAAAACACGCTTATGCAAAACCTATGTACGTGGATGTTCATAGCCACATCACCCAACAATAGCCAAAAGGTGAAAATAACTCCAATGTCTTTCAGCTGATGAGTAAATACACATGTGGTGTGCTCACACGATGGAGCGTGATGCTGCCACACGAAGGGATGAAGCCTGATTCAAGCTACATCGTGCATGAGCCTTGAAAACACTGTGTACACTCCATGAAGGCAGGGGTGGCACCTGCCAGCTCATCTGCACAGGGGTACTGTGCAGGCATTTTCCAGACCACCAGAGCTATCTGTGGGATGAGTGAAGGGTCCCGCCAGCAGTCCCAGCATCCTGCTCGTGGGACATCTGGACTGAATGCCAGGGCAGTGAGGGGGACCTGCCAGCAACTTGAAGTCACACCACCTCTGGCCTCAGCCGTACATGCCTCCTGCCGGCAGCATCTCTGATTTCCATCTTCACAACGTGTTGCCTTGGGAGTCTGGGCATCCTGGCACATTGGCTGGACTGGACCTGAATCTCCAGTGGTAGCCAGGCCGGAGAGCACAGCTTCACCACGTGCACCTCTTCTTTGCTCAGGGTTGCAGGAAACGAGACAGCAGGTTCTCAGTGACCCACAGCCCCTTGTTAAGTGGCGCAGGGCTCGGAGACTGCCCCGCCAGCAGCCTCTCACCGCGGTCACCAGAGAAGCGGTGGGGTTTGGTAAGACAAGGCGTTGGGCGTGCATTTCAAAGGCTTCCCTCGGCCTGGTAGAACCAGTACTGGCTGGGTGGAGGGGTCACCGGCCACCCCACAGCCGACCAGACCTCCTGCAGTTGGCGGGGAGGTGTCACTGGGAATTCTGTGTTTCATCAAATATTGCTGGGCCAGGGAGTTTTATTTGAAAATAATTTTAATTAGCCGGAAACTAGGAGTTTAATAAATGGAAAACAGAGAACTTTCCAAGGCCACAGCTGGGAAACACTTGCTTTTTAAAAAATTCCGCCTGGCTTCCCAGGCCAGCTAAGCACCCCCCAACACAAGGGCCCGATTGCCAGAGGAATCCACAAGGAAAACAAAGCTTATTTTTAGAGAAATATTTTAAACTTGGTTTCAGCAAGTTTAGGAGTTTTCTTGTCTGCCTAAAGTCTTTAATATCTTTCCTTCTATTTCAGAGTTGCCTCTCGCCCAGAGGGCACAAGAACTCCTATCTGACAGGAGCTATTTCTGCACAGATGAAAATAAATGGGCCCCTTCCTCCTCCAACCAAGAATTAATTGTTTCTAAATATGTCCCTCTGGTCAGGCCCCGGAGGCCTGTCCTTGGCAGGTGTGCCCCGCAGTAAGGTGGGCCTGCGGGCCGCCCTCCCACTCGGCCCGCTCTGCCCGCCACCCTGCAGGAAGCGGATGGCAGCCCGGCCATCACTTCCGGGTTTTGAAAGCAGTTTTTAACTTGAAAGAGGCCTGCTAAAAAGGGCTGCTTTCCTCTGTAGGTGTTGTTAACACCACACCCCACACAGACACACTCCCACACACGCCCACACACTCCACACACACACACACACACACACAGCCAGCCCCAAACATACAGCAGCACTGCCAGGTCCTCCCTCACACCCCACAGACGCACACACCTACCCACACGGTGCTGGCCATGCAGACACAGCCACCCACAGCAACAGGCACACCCGAACCCACCCCCAACCCAGGCCCACACACACCTACACACGGAGAGCAAGAGACACCCTCAGACCCATACCCCCCAAACAGAGCAGCAGAGTCACCCAAGCCCTCATCTACACTCCCAAAGGCACATGCTCAGCAACACACACCCAAATCCACAGATGTCCCCACACACATACCAATGGCCACGCAGACCCGCACCTCCACAGACGGCCCCATACCCCAGGACTGTCCCCCGGGAGCGCCACGGATGGCCCCCTGAGCACCTGCATGCACAGAGTGACACCGTGAACACGTGCACACTTGACAGACAAGGACACAGGTATACACACACACACACACACACACACACACACACACCCTTCCCCAGGGCTAGCACCAACTGTCAGGGGAGGGTGGAAGAACCCACTAGGCAGGTGTGGGCCCTGGAGGTGATGTGGCTTCCTGCAGCCCAGGCCCGCACCCGCCTCCTCCCCGCAGGGCTCCTCCTGGGCAGGCCTGTCCAGCTGCCAGGCCTTGGCTCCTCCCTGGCCCTCTCCCTCTTTCCTCCCTCCCGCCTTGGCCTTGCCAGCGGCATGGAACTGGACCTGCCCTGGATGGCCACAGGTCTGCACGTCTCCTAGAGTGTGAACAAGAAAAAATAAACACAAATTAAATGAGGTAACAACAATGGGAAGTGCCTACAGGCCCCTGATGGAAGGTAAGCCTGGCCACGGCTTAGTCTGTAGGGGCTGCACTGGCTCCCACTAACCCACAAGGCCAAGGAAGGCACAGAGACCCAACTTCCGCTTTCAAAATAGTCACATCTGCCCTCACTCTTGTCACCACAAGCAAAACTGAAGAAGAGCAAGTGCCTGGGGACTGTTTCCTTCCAGGTTCAAATGCTCTCTAGCGGGGTTCCTTGCTGCACACATCCAGCTTGGGGGGCGGTGTGGTCTTCTGAGACCTCCCCTCCTCCCCCCGCCGTCCACCAGAGGCAGAATTTAAAATCAAGCATTCCTAGTGCTGGGCAAGACCTGCCACCGCGAGCTATGCCTGTTGGTCCTAACTGTGTTGGGCCCTCCCAGGCCCGGCCCTTTCATCCGGGTCCCTGAGCTGCTGCAGACCTCACAATCCTCCATCTATTCCCATGGGCGGGTGCAGAGCTTTGGCCTTCTCAATAGTTTTTTTGTGTGTGTGTTTTTTTTCCTTTTATGCCCTCAGCAGTAGATTCAGACAGAATGAGTGGTGGAAAATATGTCCATGCATGCATCTCTTCTCTGAAATAATTTAGAAGGTGGTGCACACTAATTGGGTTGTTTAAAAAACACCTTAGTTTTTCAAACAGTCTGTGGAAATGCCACACTGTTAGGACATTCTAAACCATCACATTCTGGGCTCATTTTCACAACTGACTGAAGAAGAATTTTATCTTGAGTGTAACGGAGTTTTAGAGCCAAGAGTCAGTTTTAGTTCCTCTCCCCAGCCTGTGATAGAAATCCTGGCTTGTCTTTACTTGCAATTTGTTACTTCTCCTTCCTTTAACTTATGTGAAAACTTTCCTGAGGGTAATCAAGTAATAGTTGAGTTTTGTTTGCTGTGAATTCCAGCTGCTGCAGAGACAATGACCCACATACCCTCCATTGATCTGCGGCAAGAGGAAATTTCTGAATGACTCCCCCCAGCTTTCCACGCTCCACTGGGTCTAAAATACAAAAACGTCAGATTGTAGCAGTTGGGCTTGCAAACAGACCAATTTTGAAAAATAAATGTGGCTTACCCCAAAAAGAAGTCTGACATTCCAGCTGATCAAAAGTGCTTGTTTAAGAGAAGTAAGTTTGGGAGTGAAGTGGAAACAGGGCCTTTGAAACGCAGCCTGGCCTAAATAGCACCACATTTTTTAGACTTTTCCTCCTCGTCGCACATTCTTCATGGTGTGGAGGCCAGGCAGCCCGCAGGGTCCTCGCCGGCGAGCCCTCCTCGGCCTCGGGTTTCCCCTCCCCCACCGCTGAGGCCCTCGGCCAAGGGCCGGGCATCTGGGAGAACTTTGAAACTGTTCCTC